ACCTGCGAGCCCGCCTAAGGCCACGCACCAGCAGTGACAGCGCCAGGATGCGAGTTCAGTGTGAATGCAGACAAGTACCTGCTGCTGGACTCTGGTCTATAATGCCCCAGAACAGGTAAAAAAAGAAAACTATGATTTTCTTTTGAGCCAGCCCTACAGCCTGGTAATTAAGGGAGCCCACATGGCTGATCATGGTTCAAATCTCAGACCCAGTGACTTGAAAAACGCACTAGGTACACGTGTGCCCCAAACCCCAGCAGGATGAAAAAAGTGGAAGAGAAGGGATTGTGGCATGGCTGTCTCACTGGGAAGTGCTCTCTCCCTTTCCCTCTAGTTCTGTCTCTGGTGAGCGCACGTGCCCTCTGGCAGTTAAAGGAAATGTCAGCTGGTACTGGCCTTGGGTGCTGTCTACGAGCACTGAGGTGCACCAAACCTCTTCTTTATAGAAGGGAAACCTGGGGCTCTGAAGAGGAGACTGGATTTGGCGAACAGCCCAGAAAGGGTGAGAGCCAGGGCCCTGAACACAGGGCTCGCCACTTGACCTGACAGATGAACCCAGAAACTTGCCTCCTCCCCGAGTACACTCCGATACCTCCACTCCCAACTGGACCAGGCCAGGGACAAGCCATGCAGCTGACAAGCAGCGGGGAGGCTGTGAGCGCCAGCCCGGCCAGTGGCAGCAAAGGGGCCCCACCTCCTGCTCCAACCCTGCTGCTGGTACGCATAAAGACTTTCATCTTCCAATTTCTCAAAAGAAGCTGGGAATTTGGATTTTTTTCCAAGAGGTTTTTGCCATAGGGCCCTTGCGTTCACCAGAGAGAGAAAAACAGACAGAGACAGTGGGAGATAAAGTGAGAATAACCCCCTAGGGAGGATGGCCATGCCACAATCCCTCCTCCTCCATTCTCTCCAAACACATCCGGCTTGAGTTTCAAGCCACCAGGCCCATGACTTGAACGGCGGTCAGCCATGGGGGACTCCAGCAATATAACCACACCATCTGCTGGCCCCAGAACTTGGATTTTTAAGTTCATGATATCAAACATTGTTCCTCAAAAACATTTTTTTATTCCACGTGAGAGAGAAGCCCCCCCAACAGGTCTCCACACAGCAACCCATCCCCAGCCCCAGCCAGGCTCACAGGCACATGGGAATGTACCGGGTGTGTACAGGGAGGCCTTGGGGTGTGAACCCAGGACCTCGCCATACGGCTTCAACTCACTGAGCGCTTCACTACTGCTGCACCCCCATCGGCTGGCCAGCACCGCTCATTGTATTTAACACGCAGTTCACCAGTTCCTGTTCTCTGAAGCAAGCCCCTGTTCTCTCCTCTTGGGAGATCTTTGAACTTGTGGTGCACACCTACCCGTCCCAAAGGTAAATTTATCTATTCTTAAAAAAAAGGGGGGATCCGGAAATTCCAGAGCATTCTCAGCCTGAGCCACAGGGGTGGAGAGGATCTCAAAGCAGAGGGCCCCAGCAGAGGTCTCTCTGAGGGGAAAATGTCCTGATGGGCAACTCTCCATCAGCAGCTTGTCCTTTGTCCCAGGAGCAGAGCATCTGGCAAAGCAGTCTGCTCCGTGGACCGTGAGACCCGGGACAGCAGACGGTACCTGGGAGGACGGCACAGTGCATGAGACCACCGCTGGTGAGCCTGAAGGCCCCTGGTGTGCACAGCGCCCCACCAACTCCTGGTTGCAGGCCATCCCCGTCCAGAGGCATTATGAAGACTGGGTTGGCTGCAATCAGCCTCCTGCAGGTGGAGGGAGAGTGCCCAGCACCCCGGCTCAGAAGCGGCACCCTCTGGGCCGGCCCAGCCAGCTGGCTTCCCATGCACCCCTCCCAGAGCGGTGAGAGAGGTTAATTAAGCGAACGCTGAACCGTGTTTCTGTCCAGAGCATGCAGGTGTTCAGGGAAGAAACAGGGTAACAAGAATGAGAGTCCTCGAGCCAGGGCAGTCCCGCGTGGAGGACGCTGTCTTGCCTCTTTTCATCTGAGCTTTCCAAAACAGCAGCCATGAAAAACTACTTCCCACCGTGAACGTGCGTCCTTCCTGGTCCTTCCAGGAAGGCACGTCTGGAAGTGCTGGCTCTGGGCTCCTGTCGGCCCCAGATGCCACCCAGGAGCAGGCAGGCTCGCCTGACACCCGGTGCCCGTCTCCATCCTCCTCTCGGGATTATGGGCACTCGCATGCATGCACACCTTCCCTTCACCGTGGGAAGGGCAGCCTGGGGAGCCCGCCTGCAAATCAAACCCGTGACACGGCAAAGACAGCCGGGCCTGGTGTGCCTGGATCAGGGAGCTGTTTGGTCACCAGGGCAACTGGCCTTGCTGGTTAGACACGCACCTTTCCACAAGGACTTCTTCAGGTCGTCCGCTCACAGCAGATGAACTCTGAGGTCCCGGTGTCTGAGAGCCTGCATTATTTGGATGTCCTGTTTGAAGTTTACAGGGTGGCTGACGGTGCTCTAACGGATTTTTGACTCCCCCAAGGGCTGAATGTGACCCTGCAGCGATAAGCAGCGCAGAGACCCCGGGCTTCCCCAGGGAAGGTGCTGGCCTCGCGTCCAGGGACCCCGAGCACACGGGCACAGGCCAGCGGAGACAAGGCGGAGCGTGTAAGGATCCTGCTGGGAGTGCCTGTCTTTCTTAGAAGGAAAGAAACTTAAAGTTTTTTTTCTTTTTAATTTGGGGAGGGGGAACTATATTTTCCCAAGTCCCAACTACTTTTTTTAAAAGATATTTTGCTATAGAGTGTGCACGCTCACCAGAGACAGAGACAGAAAGTGAGAAATCACCTCCCGGGAGGATGGCCATATCACAATCCCTTCTCCATTCTCCTCTCGGGATTTTGTGGGCACGCACACACACACCGGCATGCCTGACCTGAGTTTCCGGTTACCAGGTCTGGGACTCAGACCACAGTCAGCCACGTGGGAGTCCAGCACCTTAACCACTATGCCACCTGCTGGCCCAAGTCCCGACTATTAAAAGGAAAGTAAAATGTGTTCCCTCTTAAATACCCTCTACAAAAGCCCTTGCAGCCTGTGCACGAACGCATATGAGGTGGCTCTGGGGGCCAGCACTTGCCCAGGGATAATGTAGGCCCTGGACTTGGGCTGCTCCCTAAATCCCAAGCCGACGTGCAGGGAGGAGAGGAAGAGGGGGGTTCAGGCCCGGTTTGGAGCAGGAGAAACCCAACAGCAAAGCACGCTAGCTAAGGCCCCTCAGGGCCTCAACTGCAACCCAGGATATTCTTACACCGCACCATTTTTTGAAGAATTCTAATTCAAAGGAGGTTTAACTTAAAAAAAAAAAAAACCACCTCTGGGGCTAGCCTGTGGCCTAGTGGTTAAGGCAGCTGGAGCCCACATGGCCAACTGTAGTATTCAAGGCCCAGACCTGGTGGTGTGAGGAAGAGGCCAAATGCATGTGCGTGCGTGCCCGAGAGCTCCACGGGAGGGAGGGGGGGAGGGGTTGCAGTGACCACCCTACAGTGGTGATTTCCTGTTCTTTGTCCCTCTCTCCAGCAAGCACACATATACCTCCGGCAAACTGAAAAAAAATTCTCATGTGACTAATTAAGAGCATCCCAATAGTTGTTACTCTGAGGAACACTAGTTGTAAAAGGCAGAATAACGTCACCCCAAAACAGGCCCGTGTCCTAATCTCCAGGCCCAATGATATCCTCAATGGATGACAACGGGAACTACGATTACAGATGGGGGACCAGCTGATGGTGTAATGGCTATGTCGCTGGATTCCCATGTAGTTGATCACGGTTCGAATCCTGGACCCAGTGGCTTAAACTCACACCAGCCACGTGTGCGTGTGTGCCCAAGATCCCGAGGGGAGAATGGAGGAGAAGGGATTGTGGCGTGGCCATCCCTCCTTGGGGGGCGATTTTTCTCTTTCTGTCTCTCTCTTTCAGGCAAGTGCATGTGCCCTATAGCAAAAAAAAAAAAAAAAAAAAAAACTCTTCAGGAAAGAAAAAAGAGTACAGATGGAATTCAGGGTGCTGCTTAGCTCACCTTAAAATGGGATTATCCTGGGGCCAGCCTGTGGAATGGTGGTGCTTAAGGCACTGGATCCCACGTGGCCAACTCTCTGGCTGAGTCCCAGACCGGCAGCGTGAGAAACATGCTGAGTGTGACCATGCGTGCCCAAGATCTCGAGAGAATGGCAGCGGGACTGTGGCATGGCCATACTCTCCAGGGGTGCTCTCCCACCCGCCCCATCTCTGTAGTGAGCACATGCACTCTATAGCAAATTACTGAAACGAGACGATCCTGATGCCCAGTGGCCCACTGCCATCACAGGGGTCCTTAAATGAGGGCAGAGTCAGCATCGGGGAGACGGGGGATGCCAAGCTGCTGCTCTGACCAGAGGAAGGGCCGTCAGCCAAGGGATGTGGGTGCCTCCAGAACCCTGAGCCAGGACGGGTCCGCCCTTGGAGCCTCCAGAAGGAGCCAGTCCTGCGCCCCTGGATGGTGGCCCAATTGGGCCTGCCTTGGACTTCTGACCTCCAGACCACAGAGGTCAAATGTTCTCAGCCATTAGCTCGTGGTGACCTGTAAGCCGCACAGGCCCCAACGCACCGGTCCTGCCAACATGCATGCTGTCAGCGGTTGCCCCCCCTTTACCTCTGTGTCCCGAACGTTACACAGAATCCTCTCCCCCCAGACCACTCTGCATTTACACGACCAGACGCCCAGCACGGTGCTCCCAGCACCCACTGACATGGGGTCTCCTGGGGTCAGCAGTGCGTCAGGCCCAAGCACACACCCTCTACCCATGGCTGAGTCTGCTCAGCCAGAGGTCCCTCCCGCCCCCTGCTCTGCAGAGCACTCCTGCTTCGAGACGCGAAGAGTAGGGGAGAAGGAACCTGGAGGCTGTCCAGAAGGCCTGTCTCGGTCAGAGGGACACTCAGGGGGACACAGGCAGCTGGGAAAAGCTGGGAGACGCTCTGGGTGGCGAGCAAATCACAGCAGCGATGCAGCTGAGCATCCGTCTGTAAAATTTATTGACACGGCTTTCCCCAAGGACCGCTGTCAAAGACGCGCTCGGCTGCGTTGATGCAGAGACGACGTGTGGCTGGTGACGCACTGTTCCCCACGTCTCCGAGCTGCTCTGGAAGGTGCGACAGCTACAGGAACCTAATCCCAGCTCCAAACTGGACACCATCGCAGATCCTGAAAAACAAGGAGAAGTTAGACACAGCGGTCCCCCCACGCGCGCCCACCTCCTGGCAGCACTGCAGCAGCCCTGCCAGATTCAGGGGGACCCCTGCTCCTCCCCACCCTCGGCCTGCCTTCCCCCGTCTGCTGCCCAGCCTTGCCCAGCAGCCCACGAAAAAATCCACCTTTGAAGATGGAAAGGGAAAGAAATGGAGACACGAATCCCCCCAAACTGCTTCCTTCTCAGCCCTCTGTCCGCCAAGCCTGACAGGGAAGGTGGAGAGGGTAGGGAGGGAGGCAGAGAGCAGGAAGGTGGAAGACAGGGAGGCAGCAGCCCCTGAGCTGGCCTAGAGCCCAGAGGTCCCCACGGCAGACCCTACAGTCCCACAGCCTGCAGTCACCTCGGGACCCCGGGGGGGTTACCACAAAGGCTACACAAACTTATGGTGGGGACCGTGGGCTGGGAAGGGAGGTCTGGGAGGGGCGGTGGGCGGGTATGGAGTTACAGACAAGAGGGATGAGCTCCGGGTCCTCCTGCAGAGGAGACTCTAGGTCACTGTCAGTTTATTTTTATTCTTTCTTCTATGAGAGAGGAAGAAGGAGAGAGAAAAGGCACCCAGACAGGGTCTCTGTGCCGCGATGCACCCAGCCTCAGCCGATCGGGACCGTGGGAACGTACGCACACACCTCCAGTGTGCGGCCTTGGGACCGAGCCCAGCCCCTCCGCGGGGCACTGCAGGGTCGCGGTGCTGCACATGGTAGCTGGGCCACACCGTGCATTTCAAAATAGCCGCAAGAAAGATCTTGAATGCTCTCACTACAAAAAATGATAACCACCTGAGGTGACAGCCGTGCTGTGTATGACTGCTTACATGCAGCAGAGCCTCACACACGGCCCTGGGGCAGTGGGGAAGGCCTGTGCCATGGGAGCCAGATCGACACGGTGGGCAGAGTTTGAATCCTGGCCCAGGTGGCTTGAAAAACAAGCCAGGCATACATGTGTGTGTCTAAAGTCCTGACAGGAAAAAGGACCGCAGTGCGACCACACCCCACTAGGGAATGCTTTCTCTCCCCACCCCCCGTTTTAAAAAATCCCATTATGCCCCATAAATAGGTGCAATTATTTTTTAAATTCTTTAAAGAATTATTTTATTTAAATTTATTTATTTACTTATTTTACTTTGACTAGAGAGGGACAGAGAGAGAGAGAGAGAGAGTAAGAAAGCAAGCTGCCAGGACAAGGATTTGAACTATGGTCGGCCATATGGGAGTCCAGCACCCTTAACAACAATTACTATGTGTCAATTTAAAAACAAACATTAAAAAAAAGCGGTCATGTCGGTTGCAAGATGACCCGTATGCTGACACTTGGCAGGTGTGATTCCATGGCCACAGAGAACAGGGCCTACTTTTGGATGAGCAGACAAGCTCCAGCCAACAGCTGAGGGGTGACGGGACAGGGTGCACAGCTGAGGGGGGACAGGACAGGGCACACGGCTGAGGGGGAACGGGGCAGGGCACACGGCTGAGGGGGGACGGGGCAGGGCGCCCGGCTGGGGGGGGACGGGGCAGGGGGCCCGGCTGAGGGGCGACGGGGCAGGGTGCACGGCTGTGTGGCACACTGTGGCCAAGACGGCGAGGCTACACCCTGGCCCTCCGGTCACTGCTCAGCTGTGGCCTATGTGAGAGCAGGGCCAGGCCTGCACAGGTGGGATTAAGTTGGCCCACTTTGGGGTCCTGAACCTCCCTGGGGACATGACATACAGAGTCCCGACAACAGCCACCAGTGCACGATGGAACAAGAGCTTTTGAGGGCTGTGCGCAACTTCAAGAAAAGACCAGTGGACAGCGCCTTCACGCAGAAGAGAGCTGCCATTTCTCCCTCCCCACCCCGTGCCATCGGCAGACCTGACCAGGTGCAGCGTGGGACACCGGCAGGACGCCTTTCCTGCTCCCCTGACGCAGACGGAGACACCAGGCCGACGAGATTCAGGACAGACAACGGCTAAGGTGGCCTCGCCTTCTGCAGGATCAGGGCGCTGACCAGCCCAGGGCCTCCCCGGCAGCCCATACAGCCTTAAAAGGCAAAGACCGGGACCAGCAGATGGCATACTGGTTACATGCCAGACTCGCACACAGTCGATCCTGGTTTGAGTCCTGGACCCAGCAGCTTAACATTCACGCCGAATGTGTGTGCCTAAAACCCCAAGAAGGGAATGGAGGAGGACTGTGGTGTGGCCATCCCCTGGGGGCGAGAGGTCTTATTCTTTGTCTCTCTGGTCGATACATGTGCCCTATGGCAAAAATCTCCCTGAAAAGGGGGGCAAGAAACAAACTCGAAACTGCGACTGCATCTGGACCACTTGGCCAAGCCCAGGGCCAGATCAGACACAAAAACATTCACTATTTAGAAAAACATCTGATGATAAGCCACAGAGTAAAAACTAAGTCAAGCTCTTGGCTTAATTCAGACAAGAACCAGGTATTCCAATAAATGCTGGCTTGCGTCACCACAGAAAGAGGAAGCAACTTTATGAGAACAGGCTTATGTTTGGGGACCCCATAAACGTGTCACAGAAGAAAATGTCCACTATGGATCTCACAACAGCGCTGAAGTCGCACAGGCAGGCCGACTCGGGGAGCCTTGGCCGCCCTGGGACAGCCCCGAGAGCCCCCTTTCTGTGTGTTCTGTCTCCCACTGTCTCCCAGCCTGCCTTCTGGCTGCACTTGCACTCTCAGTACAGGCCCTCGGCCATCACCCACCCACTCACAGCCCCGAGCACCTATGGCCCTGCATGTCAGAGCACCCTAGACGACCTCACAAACACTAGGTGCGTGTGGACACGGGGAGACCGGCAGTGAACCAGGCAGGTCCGAGACTCAAGAGACCTTGGCATGGACGCAGGGGTGGGAGAGGAGGGCGAGTCAAACTCCAGACCCCCAGCGTGGCACTAAAGGCCCTCCTCTGACCCTCCTCCCCAGCCCTGGGCCTCCCATGCCTCCCTCAGGCTCCTTCGAAGCACCTCGCTCTGGCACTGCAGACTGGGCACCGTGGCATCCCACCTCCAGGGGAGACTCGGCTCAGGCACTGGCTCCCAGCGGCTCTGTCTTCCCCGTCCACTGGGAGTCCTGTTCTGGGCAGCCCGACTCATCACTGGGTCCCCAGAGACGGCACCCGTAAGCGGTGAGCGACAGAACGCGGTCAGGTCCGAGATGGCGGTGCACGAACCACTCTAATGGAAGACTTAGCAAACATTTCAGAACTGTTTCCATTTTGTAAAGGTCTGAAGTCCTAATTATAGAGCGCCTGCATCGACTGTGGGGAAAATCAATCTACGGAAGATTTCCACACACCTAAGTCCCAGTCTGTGGTTGTCTAATTTTAGAAATAAAGATTGATTTCTGGCAGCATCACTCAAACTCCACAAAACTGCACTTTTGACGGGAAAGCTTCAAACAAAGCCGCACTCGTGCGGGCGGCTCCACGCCCCAGGCGCCCCACCCACAGGCCCACAGGCCACTGCACACACGGCTCCAAGCACCGAGACGGAGGGGAGCCTGCCACGCTGGGCTTTTAGCATCTCGTGCTGGCAGGCCTCTTCCTTCCAGGAGAAAGCGCATTAGAAATTAATCTCTGAAACATATTTGTTGGATCTAGCCTGAAGAGAGAAAGGCAGTGAAAGGTAAATGGAACGCTCTCTGTGTTATCTGAGAAAGGGAAACCACACTGAGCTCGGCGGAGCGCTGACTTCTCAGAGCACACTGACACCCAGTGGCCACAAGCAGTACTGCAAGAACAAGGACAGAGATGGGTGTGGACATCCCCACCCAGTGCCCAGGTGGCAGTCCCCTGGAGCTGGGACGTCCATGATGGTGGGGGCAAGTCTGAAGTACAGGCCTGGGGCCACCCTAAAGGAAGGAGTCAGAATACCTTTGGCGGGGTCCCCGGGGATCCAGAAGAATGCTGCAGTTTGAGAGCACCACTCAGAACTCCCAGCACACTTAGCTAAGGTGGGGCAGGACCAGCAGCCCACCTCTGCTGCTACCTGCAGGATTCCAATACACACTTGGTTGGGGAGCCAGGGGACCTACGTTCCCATCTGTGGTGGGAATAGGGATTCATAGAAAGCAGCTTGCAAGACCAGCCTCATTTGCTAACTGTAAACTGTGAAGGATCATTGCTAAAAAGCTACCTAATGCATAATCTTGCTCTAAAATAAAAGGTGTTTTTCATGATTCACAATCTCCAAAATCGGGACACATCTTCCCGTCTATGGACTATCACCAAAAGCCAGTGGAGGCACAGAGGTGATGCGGAAAGGGAAGGAACTATGTTCTGCAGGACACAGGTCGCTTTCCGTGTGAAGACAGCTCTGCCAGCACAGAGGTGAGTGCAGGAGGGCAGTGGGCGCAGGAGGGCAGCGGGTGCAGGAGCACCGGCTCAGCAGGCGCACGAGAGCAGCGGGCACAGGAGCACCGGCTCTGGCTGCTGACGAAAGCCCAGGCGCACCTGTAGCGCTCTGCATGCATTAATTCACTCGGGCCTCAAACTGCGAAGTGGTCACATCACTGTCTACTGTCTGGATGTGGGAGCGGAGACCCAGAGAGGTTTAGTAACTCAGCCCAGGTGCCACAGCTAAGCAGAGCACCTGAGCTGGGCAGACAGCCTCCAGAGAACATCCCTGCAGAGGTCTGTGACGACCTCCTTCTGGCCTGCACGTGCGAAGGGCAGAGGTGGCATGGAGGGGAGCTGGTGGGGGTGAAGTGCAGCTACTGCTGCCGGTGACAAGTGACAATGCAAGAAGGCTCTGCTATCCCTGCAGGGCCAAAGCCCCTCGCACCCAAGACACAGCAGCTGCTCAGTGAGCCTCAGCGTGAGAGGAAGAGTAGGTTCCACAAGTCAGAGGCCTCTGGACGACAGGTGCTGGGCTGCTCTGTAATCACGTGTGGTCAGAAGCTGGCAACAGCGGCTCTCCTTTCCCAAGGCCACCACCCCACCCACTGGGGAGGGGAGGGGAGGGGAGGGGGTGGAAGGGAGAGGGGATAGGAGGGGCGAGCAGGAGAGGAGGTGTTGGGGGAGGGGGGACTGGCAAACCACACCTTCATGCCTGAGCCTGGGTTAGGACCCAAGGAGAGCACCACCTCGGTGACGGCACACAGGGACACAAAGTGAGCAGAAAAAGCGAAGCCGGGGGTCTGCGTATAGACATGACACTGGTGAGAGAGACGTCGACCTACCCCAACACGTCGGCCCGAGGTAGGCCTGTGGGAAGGGATTCCTTTGATGAGGGTGCGAGGGTGGCCCTCCATGGCGGGATGAGAGCCTGAGGAGGAGGCACACCGGAGCACACCGAGCACGGACCAGTGAAGGCTGCCGTCAGCAAGCCAGGGAGGGGGCCTTGCCAGGAGTGGGCTCTGCCGACTTGGTCTTGGACTTCCCACCTCCAGCTCCAAGAAAACATGCCTGCCGTCTAAGACACCTGCGTGGTCCTGCTCCGGCAGCCTGAGCTCCCAACACACGCCGTGGGGACTTTTCCAGAGACACTGAAAGCTTACACCACACACTTAAGAGGTGGGATTAGTTTCCACTGTCAGCAGCCCTAACTCTATCCACCATGTCACGCGTAGCAAACCTTGTCTCAATGGAGAAAGACCGAGAGGCGGGCTGCACAACAGGTGCTCAAGAGTGAGCCCTCCACGGCCCGCTCCGACCTCTAGCCTGGCCTGCAAAGTGAAGCCCCGGGAACGCCGCAATCCCTCTAGCAGCAGGACGAGCGTGCCTGGCCGACGCCTCCAGCCAGCCCTCCTGAGGGAGTCCTGCTACCCGGGGACCAGTAAGCAGGATGGCTCTGAGGGAGGGGAGGGGCGCTGCACATGTTCTCCTCCGCACTGGACGTGGGGTGCCCAGTGGTGTATTCTCACTCTTTTGCTACCCATTCATTTCTCTTAAATATTCTTTAATTGCAAGAGGGCACACGCGCCAAGACACAGAGACACAAGGAGAGAGTTCCCCTCGATGGGGCATGCCATGCTGCAGTCCCTTTCCCCGCCGTCCCCCCGCCCCAATCAGGACTGGGGCACTCAGGCACACGTGCCAGGGCCAGGACTCGAACTCAGGCTCTCTACAGGCAGCACTTAACAGCTATGCCCCAGGACCGGCCCACTTGCAGAATCTTTTTTTTTTGGAGAGGTTTTTGCTATAGGGTGCGTGCGCTCACCAGAGAGAGAGAGAGAGAGACAGAGGACAGAAAACGAGAAATCACCACCCAGGGGGATGGTCACGCCACAATCCCTTCTCCTCCATGCTCCTCTCGGGATCTTGGGCACGCACGCACACGTGCCGGGCATGAGCTTAAGCCACCGGGTCCAAGACTCACACCACGGTCGACTACATGGGAGTCCAGCGACATAGTCATTACACTAACTGCTGGTCCCCCAGTCGCAGAATCTTGAACCCTAATAGCCACTGATGACACGATTAACCATGTCCAACACAGAACGCGGTGGGGGAGTGGGGCTGGGAAGCCCTCCCGGCATTACCTGTCGCCACCCTGCACGCCCATGGGGATGCAGTAATTGAGCTCCAGCCGAGCGATGTTGCCGAGCCTCAGGACGATCCCAGCACCGTAAGACCAGCGGATGCACTCGGCCAGCTTACGAATGTGGGCTTTCGGGCCCTCCCCTGGAAGAGAGACAGACGTGTGAGCCCGATGTGGATGCCGTCCTCAGGCCGTGTGGCCCTCGCTCCTGCTGGGCCCTGAGACGTTCCAGGAAAACACGCCATGTGATCAGGACCCCAATGTGGCGTCTTCTGCTCTCTCTGCCTAAGACGGCTTTTCCCAACCCCTGACCACCCCACATCTTCAGCTCAGGGCCTGACCTTCTAGGAAGCCTTCCGGGTACCTCTAGCTAGATACATTTGCTGCTCCTTGAAGTAAAGACCCCATTCTACTCTGCAGCCATCGCAGCTGGCATACAGCAAGTGCTCCAGAAACGTCTGCTGAATAAATGAATAAACAGCTCTTTCTTCGTAAGGCGGCATCAGGTGACTAATTCTCTTTCTTCTGTTTCTTTTTGCTACAGAGTGTGTTAGGGAAAGTGAGAAAGCACCCCTCGAGGGGATGGCCACACTGCAATCCCTCTCCTCTCAGGAGAGGGATTTGGGCACACACACACATGCCTGTCCTGTTTTTCAAGCTCCCAGGTCTGGGATTTAAACCATGCAGTCGGCTATGTGGGATCCAGCCACCTTAACCACAGCACCACTGACTGGCCGTAGGAATGTCTTTAAATTTAAAGACAATATAATCTAAAAAGACAGACACCTCCTTGGGTACTGTGCCTTTTCTTTTTTTTTTTTAGGTTTTTGCCATAGGGCATGTGTGCTTGCTGGAGAGAGACAGACGGAGACAGTGAGAAGAAAAGTGAGGAATCACCTCCCGGGAGGATGGCTACACTGCAATCCCTTCTCCATTCTCCTCCTGGGATTCTGGGCACACACACACGTGCACCTGGTATGATTCTCAGCCACCAGGTCCAGGATGGCCGTGTGGGAATCCAGTGCCCCAACTACCACGCCACCCGCTGGCCCTCGTACTGTGCTCGTAAACAGAAAAACAAGTGTAACAGTTTCTTTAGTAGTTTGAGTCTCACCGTAGTTGAGGTTGCAGAGGTTCCCTGCGTTGAGAAAAAAGTGTGTTCTGAAAAGTTCTCCGAAGCCGCCCTGGCCGGGCCGGAAAGGCAGCGGGGTGTACAGGTGCAGGCCGCCGGCCCAGTATGCTTCTCCGCCCAGGTAGTCTCCTAAGCAGGAAGGGCACAGAGGGCAAGAACAGAACCGGTCAGTGACAGGGAAAACCACGCCAGCTCTCTACATCCTAGAAGAAGGTTTACATCATGCGTGACATGGTGCTCAAGTTCTACGAGCAGTTGTTCATCTACCCGATACTGCTGGCCTCATTTAAATAACCCTCTTTCTCTGGGTTTGTTTTACAATTGGATTTAAACACGGGGTGGGGGAGGCATCAGTGTAATTCAGGAAAAATATGAACTCCATCATTTACCCTACCTATACAATGCTAGAAACAAGTGACTCGTGGCAACCACTTTATCCACGACTACAGATTGCCAAATTGCTTCCACTGGCAAATAAACTGCATTATTTTCACAATGTTCAGGACCACAATACAGAGAGATGAAATGCAGGAAACGTCTCTGCCGTTTCTGGAACGGCTGCCCGGCCAACTACGCAGAGGCAAGGGACTACACCCTCTGCATAGGCAGACGCGCCCGGCTGAGTCCTAGCGGGAAGAGTCCATGCAGCTCAGGTCCACTGGGGTTTGTGCGTTTCAGACAGACATTACTTTAGCTGAGGTTCCAGACGGCCCACTGAGAGCGCACATTCGCATTATCTCTAAACACTCCTACCCTCTCCACTGTAACTATAAGTAGCCTGTCATTAAAGTGACCACAGAAACTTCTGCTACCCTAATTATACCTTGTTGCAAAACACCATTCGGAAGCGCTTCAGCCTCTCTAATACAAAAGGACCCACACGAAAAAGAAAAATACTCAACAGTGAACTACTCGTTCACTTAAAGACTCCACTACATCCTTAATCCTTTTCCATATTCAATTTCTTTGCCATAGGGCATGTGTGTTCACCAGAGAGAGAAAGAGAAGCATAGAGACGGTGAGAAATCAGCCCCAGAGGGACGGCACATCACAGTCCTTTCTCTTTCATTCCTCCTCTTGGGATTCTGGGCATGTATGCACATGTATCCAGCATGATTTTCAAGGCGACAGGCCCGGGACTCAAACCACGGTCAACCATGTAAGAGTCCAGCACCTTAGCCACTACACCACCTGCTAAAGTTCTAAAGGAAAACAACTGACAAACAAATTACAGAAGATAAAGTTCATTTTAATTTCCCAGAAACTGCCGTACTGCTCTTTTTAAAAACTTATTTTATTCTTATCATAAAAGTAATATACTCATTGTAGAAAATTTGATAAACCGGGACCAGCAAATGGTGAAATGGCTATGTTGCTGCATCCCATGTAGTCACGGATATAGTGGCTTAAACTCATTCCAGGTGCGTGTGCGTGTGTGCCCAAGATCCTGAGAGGAGAATGAAAGAGAAGGGATTGCGTCATGGCCATCCCCCCCGGGGGGGTGATTTCTCACTTTCTATCTCTTTCTGGTGAGCACACATGCCCTATAGCAAAAACCTCTCCAAAAAAAAGAAAAAGAAAATTTGATAAACCTAGGAAATTAGAAAAAAATTAAAATCTTTTTTTTTTTTTTTCTGAGCGATTTTTGCTATAGGGTGCGTGTACTCACTGGAGAGATAGAGATAGAAAGTGAGAAATCACCCCTTGAGGGGATAGCCATGCTGCAATCCCTTCTCCTCCATTCTCCTCTCAGGATTTTGGGCATGTATGCATATGCACATGGCGTGAGTTTTTTGTTTTTGTTTTTTTTTTAACTTTTTATTTATTATTTATTCATTTGTTTATTTCAGTTTGACCAGAGAGGGACAGAGTGAGAGAGAGGGAGAGAGAGTGAGAAAGCAAGCTGCCAGGTCCAGGACTTGAACCACGGTCGGCCATGTGGGAATCCAGTGCCTTTAACCACCATGCCACCTGCCGGCCCCTCACATGGCGTGAGTTTTAAGCTGCCGGGTCCAGGACTCGAACCGCAGTCGACTATGTGGGAGTCCAGCAATGTAACCATTATGCCATCTGCTGGTCCCCCTAAATTAAAATCTTTTAATTTCTGCCATTTGAAACTAACCGGCCAACATCCTGGTGCTCCCTGCCCAGTGAATTGTAACACATACTGTATAATTAAATGGCGAGTGAGAGTCTCACTTCACAGTTCTGCATTTTCTTCAGTTTAATACAAGAACTTTCTCCTAAGACTTAATTATACTCCTTGAAAACATGGTTTTTATGCCTGAATAATAACACGAGTGTACCCAGATGTAATGGCCTATTTCTCTTCTATTATCAGACTAGCTCCTAACTTTGTCGTGGACGCTGGCCTACGACGAGTCTCCTCGCACTCACATTGTTTTAAACTCCTACGTAAGTACGATGTGCAAGCAGAGCACGACGCCCTAGGTTACAACGCAGTTAATTTCCACACACGGAGCACGCCTCTAGAGTGGGTCCGGGATTGAGATGTGACATGCCCAGTCCCCGAAGGCCTGGTTCTCCCCCTCCCCCAGCCAGGCCTGCCCTAAGCTCTAACCACAGAGGGCTTCGTGCACCTCCACACTGCGTTTACAGATCACGCAGTGCGCGTTCCTCCGGTCGAGGTCTCTGCGACTCGGCCATGCCATCATTCAGCCAGGGCTGTGACTGGCTCTTCCTGGCTCTAACGTGAAGACAGCATTAATCACCTGCCCATTCTATGACTGGGCCAATTAATACAAACCCTGCACATGCAGAGGGGATGTCGACAAGTTTGTGGAAGTGGATTCAAGTATGAGTTTCTCTTGGTACCCAAACTCTGAAAGCCATGTATTCTTCATAATACACATCCGTGAACTTCTTAGACATGCAAGTATAGATGGTTAAGGCTTCTACACATCGAATTGCTTGCACAAAATGGTAGGGCAATTCACACCCTTGTCCACAGAATCTCACCAATTGCCCCTCTGACTGGTAGTAAGTGCATTATCACTGTATTTACTTCTCAGGCCCATGAAGATTGCTGAACTTACACAGTCAACGTCATACTTCTAATAAAACAAGTTAACATGAAACTACCCAAAAAGTGTTATTTTTCTAAGAAATGATACTGCAATCAAGTACTCTAAAAAGTGAAAAAAAATAACTTATACCATGTAGAGAAATCTAGAGCGCAGGAATCAGCAGTTGCTGTAATGGCTATGTCGCTGGACTCCCATGTAGTCGGCTGCGGTTTGAGTCCTGGACCCGATGGCTAAAACTCAAGCCAGGCGCATGCGTGTGCGTGCCCAAGATCCCAAGAGAAGAATGGAGGAGAAGGGATTGCAGCGTGGCATCCCCTCTGGGGGGTGATTTTTCGCTATCTCTCTGTCTCTTTCTGGTAGCAAAAACTTGTCCAAAAAAAGGAAAAGAAAAGAAATCTAGAGCATAGGGTCCAGCAGATGGTTTGGTGGTTCATGCAGCTGGATCCCACATGGCTGACCATGGTTTAAGTCCTGGAACCGGTGGCTTGAAAAACATATCGGGCGTGTGCATGTGTGCCCAAAATCCCAAGAAGAGAACGGAGGGGAAGGGACTGCAGTGGCCATTCCCCTAAGGGGTGGTTTCTCACTTTTCCTCTCCCTGTCTGTCTCTCTCTGATGAGCACACTGCTCTAGAGCAAACTTTATAAAAAAGAAAGAACAATGTAAAGAGTGTAGTCATTGTTTATCACCATATAAAAATGGAAGCAACAAAGACACCACAAGACCCTGTTGTACAAACACAAAGCTCCAATTCCTTTCATCTAGCAATTTCACATCTAGAACTTCAAGGTAAAACACACAGGTAAACGCAAAAACTCAGTCAGAAGGCATAAATTCTCTTAAATACAAAAAAGACTGGGACCAGTAGATGGCAGAATGGTTACATCACTGTCACTGGACTCTCACGTGGTCAACTACGGTTCACGGCACGGGCCCAGTGGCTTCCAACTCATGCCAGGAGCATGTGCATGTGTGCCCAAATCCCAAGAGGGGAATGAAGGAGAAGGGATTGGGACATGGCCACCCCCCAGGGGGTGATTTCTCACTTTCTGTCTGTCTTTCCAGAGAGAACACACACTCTATAGCAAAAATCTCTCTCGAATAAAGACTAATTGGCCAAAACTTGGAATTTGGTTTTCCAAACTAATCTACGTCAACAAGACAAAATAATGCAACTGTTGAAAATGCTCATTTCTCTCCCTCCTCCAACACTGGAGGGAATGTGAAATGCTACAGCTGTTTGGGAAGCTTATGTGCCAGTTTCTCATAAAGCAGGCATCCTTGGGACCAGCAGATGGCATAGCAGTTATGTCACTGGACTCCCACATGGTCGACCACACTTCAAGTCCTGGACCTGGTGGCTTGAAACTCACGCTGGGCACATGTGCGTGAGTGCCCAAGATATTGGGAGGAGAATGGAGGAGAGGGGACTACAGTGTGGCCATCCCCTCAGAGGGTGATTTCTCACTTTCCCTCTCACTGTCTCTTGTCTCTCTATCTGGCAAGCACACTCCCCCTAAGGCAAAAACCTCTACAGATAAATAAATGTACGTATGTATGTATTTATGTATTTAGGCATGCTCTTAAAACATGATCGAGCAACTGTGCCCCTTGGTATTTACCCAACTGCTCTGAAAACTTATGTCCACACAAAAACCACCCATGACTTACAGAACAGATGCTTTACTCCTGACAGCTGAACAATGGAAGCAGCCCAGAGGCCCTCTGACAGGCGCAGGGATGAGCAAGCTGTGGTATATCCATACAGTGCAATATTATTTGCATTAAAAAGAAATGAGCTCTCTGGGGGACCAGCAGTTAGCGTAATGGCTATGTCGCTGGACTCCAACGTAGTCGACCGTGGTTCGCGTCCCAGACCTGGTGGCTTAAACTCACGCCGGGCGCATATGCGTGCATGCCCAAGATCATGAGAGGAGAATGGAGGAGAAGGGATTGCGGCGTGGCCATCCCCTCTGGGGGGTGATTTCTCGCTTTCTGTCTCTCTGTCTCTGTCTGTCTGTCTGGCAAGTGCGCGAGCCCTGTGCCCTATAGCAAAAACCTCTCCAAAAAAAAAAAAAAAAGAAAAGAAATGAGCTCACAAGTCTGAAAAAGACATGGCAGAACTTAAATGCATATTACTACATAAAAGCCAGTCTCAAATGCTACATACTGTATGATTCCCACTCTTTGACATTCTGGAAAAGGCAAAACAATAGAGAGAATAAAAAGATCTGTGGATAGATCAATAGACAGTAAAAAGACCGGCTGCAGTGGCACACAGAGAGCTCCACCACCTGGGAGACTGGAGGGTACACGGCGGCCCACGTGCAGTTCCCAGGCCACCCTGAACATGCTGAGCATGGCTGTGCAACCCCAGCTTAATGGGAGGCTGGGGCAGAAGGGTCACAACACTGCAAGATCCTCAAAAATATCTCTGTCTCCTTCCCTTTTCCTCTCTCTCACCCTCTCCCTCACAAAATTTTTTTAAAAAAGAAAAGAAAAATGGGGGGGGGGGCGGCAGGTGGTTAAGGGTACTGGACTCCCACATGGCTGACAGCAGTTCAAGTCCCAGACCTGGCAGCTTGCTTTCTCACTTTCTCTCTCTTTCACTTTCTCTCTCTTTCCCCCTCCCTCATCAAATTTAAATAAATAAGTAAATAAAAGTTAATAAAATAATTCTTTAAGAAAAGAAAAAAGATGTGGAGCTGGCAATAGTCTGGTGGGAAGAAGGGAAGGGTAACGGGGTGGAGCCAGGGGTTTTCGGTGGTGAAGTGACTCTGCGATACTGCGACAGTGGACACGCCACCTGCATTCATCAGGGCCACACGAGGCCACCACCGAGGGAGCCACTGGCTGAGCCACAGACGAGCAGTCGTATTCAGACTGAGTCAGCAAGGGTGACAGCCATGGCACGCTAAAGCCAGGTGCTGATAACAGGAAGCTACGGGGTGGTCACGGCAACTCTGCATTTTCTGCTCAATTTTTTTGCAAACCTGAAACTGCTCTAAAAATTAAAGTCTAGTAATTAGAATACAATTATAGTATGTCATTAAGATGAAATATGCAGCTGTTAAAAATTAGAAAGTACTGGGACCAGCAGTTAGCGTAATGGATATGTCACTGGACTTGCATGTAGTCGACCGCAGTTCGAGTCCCAGACCTGGTGACTTAAACTCACGCCGGGTGCGTGTGCGTGCGTGCCCAAGATCCCGAGAGGAGAATGGAGGAGAAGGGATTGCGGCATGACCATCCCCCCTGTGGGGTGATTTCTCACTTTCTATTTCTCTGTCTCTCTCTGTCTTTCTGGCAAGTGCGCCTGCCTATAGCAAAAACCTCTCCAAAAAAAAGAAAAAATTAAAAAGTACTTATTCCATCAAAATGTGCTATTATGTGATTAGGAGGGGTTGGGGGGAGAAACGGGTTAAAACATAGCAAGCAAACAAAACAAAACAGAACATGGTGTCATCTACAGGTAAAGCCTACAGGGACCACACAGCCGAACGTGCGTTCAGGCGTGCTTCTCCAGGCATGGTGGGGCTGCAAGTCATTCTCACATATTTTTTGCTTAAATAAATTCCTCATTTTTCCATAGCTCTCTATAAATACCCCACCCCTGCCAAGTGACGGATTCCGTGAGGGGCCAATCTGATCGCTGGGAGATATGAGCACTGCTCATCGCTGTGGTTTAAACAAATATGGGGTTTGAGAATTAGCGCTGACCCCTTCTCAGCTAGGGAACCCCTGGGGCAACGACAGACCTTCGCTCTGTGGCCCGATGCTGTGCATGCTGAATCCACGGACACTCGTTGGCCCCCCCAGGTAGAACCTAAGAGAAAAGGGAACGTGTCAGAGGAAAGTCATCAGTGAAAGCAACAGTCCACCAAAAGCAGAGGAGACGCACTCGCCACTCCTGACACCAGCTTACTGACATCTTCCTCGCAGGGCGGAACACTTCAGAAAGGTCTGGAAGGCTCACACGGGCACGGCAACTTTCACAAAAACCTAAACTTTGTTTTTAATTGCTAGAGGGCGGATGTGCTTGTGCTCACTCTGCCATCCCCTCTCATCCCTCCCCATTCCCACATGTGCCTGGCATGTTTTTTAAGCTGGGGCTGGGATTCGAACCACAGTGAGCCAGTGGGGTCTGGTTCCCTTAATGACTAGACTACAATGCTGGCTTACAAATCTAAACTTCTAATCCAACCTATATTTCTTCATACCCAGGCCCAGCCCTGAGCTGTGGGTGATAGTGCCAGCCCACTCCTTTTTTGAAAACGGTGAATCGCACATATTCTCCTGAAAGAACCCTCACGATCCAGGAAGCATGTGTCAGCAGGTGGAAGGCTCTTGCCCTCCCACTCCCATCTGCCAGGGTACCATGTTGGTGGCTGACTTTCCAGACCCACTGTGCGGCACCCACCAACACACATGCCCACTGGAGGGTGCCCCCTCCTTAGAAAGGAATCAATGAATATATTCATGTGCAAATTTTAGTTTATGGACTACTATCTCATTGTTTCTAATAATTACATAGTATTCCTTTAGAACGGCTTTACTAGAATTTCATCATTTCTATAGACTTATATAAGGCAGTTTTTATCACTAATGCTACAATGGGCATCTCTGCACATAAATTTTTGCTGTCTTATAAAACTCTCTTAGTAAATTAAGATTGATGGAACTAGAACTTGTTAGGTCCCAGAGTTTATAAATTTAAAAATTTTAGACTTCCAAACTGCCAGCTAAAAAGGCTAAACCAGCTTCATCTAAAACATTTTAGGGCCAACAGGTGGTGTGGTGGTTAAGGCGCTGGATTCCCATATGGCCGACTAGGGTTCAAGTCCTGGACCTGGTGGCTTGGAAATCATGACAAGCCTGTGTGCAGGCACGCCCAAACTCCTGAGAGGAGACTGGAGAAGGGACTGCAGCATGGCCAGCCCCCTGCGAGGGTGATTGTTCACTTGCCCACTCTCTGTATCTCTCTCTGGTCTGCACACATGCCCTATGCAAAAACCAACAGCAAGTAAATAAATACATAAAACATTTGAACTGATGCAATATAAACTGCTATAAGCTCTCTAAAAAACAAGACCTCTATAAGCATTAGGATGCCTTGAAAGACTTTCCGAATCTTACTTTGAGACAGTAATTCCACATTTAGAAATTTCTTCTCAGAAAATAAAAATAAACAAATTATTTATAGTTACCCTTTAAAAATTACTTTAAAAGTCACCAAGTTAGAAATAACTGAAATATCTAAAAATGAAGAAAGCCAAAAGGTTACAGTATCCAAGTAATAACACACTACGTGTCATTAAAATGCTGAATCTGTCATGACTTGTGAATGATTATAATTTCTATAAACTTTTTAAGAGCACAGAGAACACCAAAGTGCACATAAAATCCCATACATTAACTTTACACCAGCAATTTACACACATGCAGACACACATCCACGGTGTAGACTAAGGAATAAGTGCCAATGTTGAGTCTACTTATTAGAGTAGGACTGAATTTTTGTACTTCCTTAAATGTTTCTATATGTTTATATTTCTACTGCAAGTATGAACTATATTCTTTCATAATTGAAAGGAAATAATAATAATCTTTTCATGACCATAAACCACCCAACAAAAAGTAAAAATACTATGCAGTATATATTGAATTTTG